GGGGTGGGAATAACGCATTTTTGGAAAGCTCTTAGAGGTATAGCTTTCCGTGTGATTGAGAAAACATCCATTGAGCAAATTAATAAAGAAACAATGTGGTCAATTTTCACTGATTTTGCCTGTATTATGAATGAGTTTTAAACTGCAATTGTCCACCAAACACGAAGGAGAAAGATTCCTACTTACACGAAGGAACAGTTCTCTTTTGTGCAATGTTTTGAAAAAGATATTCGACAAAACGAGCGGTGCATCTTAGTGGTCAGTATTGTAAAATTCAGATTTCTCAGGGAACCATGGAACAGTTTGCCATAACAATAATAATAATTCATATTCATTTACTACTAAACTGCTGTTAAGTTATTTATTAAGTTAGATGAACATGTAGGAAAGTATTTGGTTCATGAACATACCATAAGCATAACGACATCTCTAATCATGACCATCGATACCTGATATCTAGACCAGGCAGTATTCAGTGTGTCCAGGAAATTGTCATTGTGTGAAAGTGATACATCGTTGCATACCTTAAGAGGAATACAATGGCAGCTTGTCAATAAGAATCCTTTCTGAAAATGTGCCGAGGACATGCAAAGTAAATACTTCAACTGCCAGGCTTGAAATCATGTCAGTTTTCAACAATAGAAATTATCAAACTTCTTCTATAAAAAAACACATATAACTGGCACCCGTTTTGGAAACCTACTATTGCTATAGAAGTTTTCGTAGAGCGCTACACCTCTACGTTTTAATCACCGATCATTTTGTACTTCTACTCTTGCGTGTACATATAAAACGGTGGCACGTTACCATGGTTACCATTAACGACCATTTTTACATAACAAGCTCTGCCGCTCTACAATCACACATAGCTAGATAATGAACTGTACGGCTCTGAGATCACGCGTTTCTAGATAATGAACTCTGTGGCTCTACAGCTCTACGATCAAGCATTTCTAGATAATAAACTCTGCGGCTCTACGACCCTACAGCTCTACAACTCTACGATGACGCATTTCTAGATAATAAACTCTGCGGCTCTACGGCTCTACTATCACGTATTTCTAGGTAATAAACTCTGAGGCTCTATGGCTCTACAGCTCTATGATCACGCATTTCTAGATAATAAACTCTGCGGCTCTACAGCTCTACGGCTCTACTATCGCGTATTTCTAGGAAATAAACTCTACGGCTCTACGATCGCGCATTTCCAGACTTTTGCTTGATTTTTTGAAATTCAAGAACTGAAACGAAATGTGTCGTTGGACGTGCCTTATTTTTATGTACTAAGTTGCCAGGTGCCGTTACGTTTCGTCTACGAAGAGCTTGAAACAAGGAGCGCGGTGCTTGATGGTAGGTTTCGTTGATAGCAAGTGTTCTTGAACGAACACTCAGCATTCTGGCCATTCTAGCCATTCTGGCCACTCTGGCCATTCTGGCCGAGGGTGGCCATCTAATAGAGGTTCAACTGTAGTTAACGCTGTTTTATACCTTTTCTACCAGATGTTCTGTGACAAGTTCCTGGATTCCAGAGTATAACCTATCTCCATGCCCGTGAAGCACCAGAACGCTAGCATGCCTGTCCATTTTAAATTAACATCATTAGGACATCAACAGCTTATATATATATCCCTTAGTTAAGTCTCATTAACTAAATAATTTATAATTTATGCATGTCTTTCAGCCCTACATTGTACATGCACAGTGTACTACAAAGGTGGCTCAAAACAGTTTGAAGCACTTTCCAAGACTTAGATTTTGATGGGTCGTTATAACCACTCTTTATCACTTGATGCTACAATCATGGTATCAAAAAACTGCTTAATCATTGGTAAACATGTTGTTATCATTTTTCTGATGTCCAATAGTTTACCATAGCAACAGTACGACCAGCTTAAAACACCCTTAATGACACCTTTAGGGGCTTATAGTTCAAAAATGTCATGGTGAAATTTTTTTTAATATTATCAAATTTTGATGAGCAGGATAAGACAAAACTTTTGGCCAAGTTTAAAAAAAAATCTGTTCATGGGGTTCAGAGCCACCTTAAATTTTTAAAACTTTAAGGTGGCTCTGAACCCCATGTACTGATTTTTTTAACACTCTGCTAAAAGTTTTATCTTATCCTGCTCATCAAAACTTGATGATATAAAAAAATTTCCCCATGCTATTTTTCAATAATATTAACCCTTAAAGCTATAATTAACAGTGTTTTTAGCAGGCGATACTGTTGAGCACTAAGTAAACTTCTTGTGTCACAAAAATGATAGCAACGTGTTCACCATGACCAATGACGGGGCAGTTTTTTTGATACCATGATTGTCGCATCAATTGAGTAGTTACAATGACCTATCAAAAGTCTTGGAGAGTGCTTGAAACTGTTTTGAGCCACCTTAAATGAAGGAAAATCACATGTTACATTGTAGTACACTGTGCATGTACAATGCAGGGCTGTGCTCTAGAAGTGCCCATGTGCCACAGGCAACTAACTTTTCCCTTTGGGGAAAGTGGAACAACTTACTTTTTCCACATATGCTTAAGTACTGGGCACCCAAGATTTCATGGTTAGGAAACTTTGAGTTCCTAGCCTTGCGACGAATGTGTGTATACATAGTACCTTTGGTTATAAACTAAACTATATTATTAAGAAACATTTACCTATACAGTTCCTCAAATGAAAGTGACTTAAATAGCTCCTCAGACGACAGAATCTGCTGAAAGGCAGTCTTCAGAAATTTCCAAATATCTTCCACATATTTCTCATCCATAGTCATCTAATCAGTGAGCACATAAATTAATATACAATGTGTGACAAGCACACATGCAAGAGCCATCATAACTTCAAAATGTAAGAAAACAGAATGCAATTAATGGTCCAAATTTTTAACAACAAAATTGACCACAATTTTATCAATTTATGATGTCATATGGGAGGTGCAGTGGCCTCATGGTTAGGTCAAGCGGTCCAGGTTCGAGCCCTGGCCGGGGACATTGCATTGTGTTCTTGGGAAAGACATTTTACTCTCAGAGTGCCTCTCTTCACCCAGGTGTATGAATGGGTACCGGCAAACTTAATGCTGGGGGTAACCCTGTGATGGACTAGCATCCCGTCCAGGGGGGAGTAGAAATATTCCTAGTCGCTTCATGCTACAGGAACAAGGATAAGCTCTGGCCTAATGAGCCACTTGGCTCGTATGCAGACTTTACCCATGATGTCACAGCTGATAATGTAACATCATGCCAAATTCTTAATTTTCCAAAGAGGGAATCGAGAGCTGTTAAAAGGTGAAAACTCTTTGTTGATCCATCAAAAATCAAATCAGATCTTACAATATTGTTAATGTTAGAGAACACTCGAAGCCCAAAAGCTGAGACTCCTTGATGATTGAAGGTGGTATGCTACTTTTTGTGTTCCACTTATGTTTCAGACTAATTTTCCTGGATGAGCAGAACAATAATTAAGAACTTAAAAAAAAAGTGCTAGTCAGTAAGTTTTTCCTGCCCTTGTTAGGACCAAAAAGTGTAATTTGCAATGTCATATTTTTGTATCAATATAATTTTCACCTACTTTGAAGGCAAAACCAATTAGAAACACAGTAATTTATAACACTTTCTTTAAGCAGATGCTTAGTATTTGTCCAAAAATGAAAGAAAAAATATAAGGGGTTGATTAATGTACAGAAACAGTACTGAAAGGTATGGTTCTGGGAGGAGACACTGAAATTGCTTTAAACTATTGTTGCACCAGAACCATTCCTCAAGAGAGGATTGGTTTTTGGTATGATCATAATTCCTCTAGTCTCTTTTAAAATATAC